GCTCCTTGTCCTGGTACGTGATTGTACAGGATGTCGCTGTACACCTTTTCGAGCGGTGCGTATGCTGGTGCACTCGGGTTGTGGTGAGGGACAAACGGCTGATGCGGTAAGTCAGCTTCAGGACATGTGAAGCACGTTCCTTTTACTCGTTGGAGTTCTCTCCCGTCATGTAGTAGGAGCGAGTCTTTGTCAAGCCATCCTGCTCTTATCGTGTTGTTTAACGTTGTGTTGCTCGGGTGTCCCATCCGTGCATGCCAGATTTCTTCGCTGGCGCGGTGTCCGGGTGAACGTCGGTACATGTCGGAGTTGGAGTAGAAGCTGGCGGTGAAGTTGGCGCTTCGATGAACTTCTCGTCGTGCCGGGTTTAGCTGCTGCGCGGGTGTCGGTGGTGTGTCATTGACGAAGATCGGTGCCGTTGAAGGACCAGCGATTGGTGTTGATGTTACCACTGCTGTTACCGTTGTCTCTGCTGCTGCCGTTGTTGTCTCTGCTGCTGCCGTTGTTGTCTCTGCTGCTGCTGATGTTGTCTCTACTGCTGCCGTTGTTGTCTCAGCTGCTGCCGATGTTGTCTCTTCTGCTGCTGATGTTGTCTCTGCTGCTGCCGAATGTTGAATTGTCGCTAATGCTCTTGTTCTTTCTGCTTCAGGAATGGTGTGCGAGTACCAGAATCCTTCGGGGCTGAAGTTGGGGTCAAGATCCGGTGGATGTGTCCAGGAGGTGAAGGTGACGATCCCGTCGCTGTCAGCTGTGCCAAGGTCTGGGACGACATTACCACCGTAGCTCAGAAAGGTAAGCAGCTAGAGATATGAACTTCATGTACATTCGAAACAAGTACCGTATCGCCCCGGATATAACCGCAGGCCTATGTTAAGTGCATGCGCTTCTATCTGGAGCAATGCGCTTATGGCCGATCCTCAATTAGAAGCGCACCCTCTAAAAAAACCTTACTTATTATAAGCGCACCCTTGCTGTATAGACAAGAATGTCTGTTGTTTTTTTCACTTTCTTTACAACCTTCGTACAAACTACATTACTCTAGCTAAAAAATTCAACTAAAACTTTCAAGTCAAATACATTAGACTAGCATCCTAGCCTACACAACATTATTAAGTTTAGTCTAGCCTAAGGCCTACTCCTCGTCCGACTCAGGCTCCGTGGAGTTGTTGCCAAAGAACCCGTCTGCTTGGATGTCGTCATCAACCTCTACCTCGTGGGATAGCTGACCTCTCCGGTGCGCCAGCACCAGTCCGTCTTCACTCCCGTCAAGGGCATTGCTGATGCCGCAGGTGAGGAACGCTCTCTTAATCAGGTCGGCGGGCACAGCTTTCCACGCCCGTGAAATCCACTTGAGCACCACCTCCGGAGATGGTTTCTTAATGTTCCCTGCACCACATACACGGGGGTGGGAAACACGTGGGTCCACAAGCAGGCAGACATACAGACGAAGCGGTCACGGGAGAACACTTTTGCGTACCTGCGGGTGTCAGGATGTTCATGCCGTCCTGCTCGAACCAGGTCTGGTACTGCTGCCGAACACTCGCCTTGAAGCTTTTGTTGACCGACACATCGAGCGGCTGCAAGTCTGCCGTGCATCCCGCTGGGATGACCGCCGGCACGATGTTGAGTTCCACGAACTTCGCCTTGACTTCGGGTGTCAGGTGTCCACGATAGGAGTCGAGCACTAGCATGGCGCTCCGGCTCTGCAATCCGAACTTCGGTTTCAGGAACGGCACCACGCCTGCACCGAGCCACTCGATTACGCCCGAGGCCTCCATCCACCCGTTAGCTTGGCAACCGACCACGACATCTGCATACAAGCAAGCGGTGGTTAGATTTTACTTTTGTTTTTCCCCTCGGAAACACGCGCATACGCAGTTTCTTACCGTTCGGAAAGTCACCCTTTGGGAGGGTCTTGCACTTGAAAAACACCCACGGCTTCAACTTCTCACCCGTCGCCGTGCACGCCAGCATCACAGTGACTCTCTCTTTCTGGTAACCACCACTGCGGATGGGCACCGACTTCACGCCCGTCTGCTCCACCGTGGTAGTCGCCGGCATCTCCAGCCACAAAGGCGTCTGGTCGGCATTGATGATGTAACGATTGTCGATGTCGTAGTCGTGTCGTGCGTCGCGGACAAACTGCCAAATTTCCTTGCACTGCTTGGCCACGTCTGCGCACGGGGAGGGAGGAACGGTTAAAAGGGCGGATGAGCACCGCTACAGATAAACAAACATGGGCAAGAAAGTACTGAAATACAAGATAAAATTTCACGATAGGATGACAGTGCACGGACAGGCACTTACGCTGCTGTGTCTTTTGCGCCACCTTTGTTTTCATGCGCACGGTGAGATTCCACCGCTTGCGGAACCGCTCCGTCCAGCGCTGACTCGCCTTCCACTTGACGTCCGGGAACAACGCCTTCATCACCTCTTTTGACCAGTCTTGCAGCCGGCCGACTGATACTGCCACACCGCGGCGTCGCCAGTCCAGGAGTTGGGCGTACACCTTCATCTCCATGGGTCTGTACCAGGAAGACCTTCCGCGCCCATGAAGTCGACACCGAGCACTATGTGCAGCCTTGAGCTCCTCCGCTTGGTTTTTCCACTTTGTGAGGCATTTGCGGTGTATGCCGGACTCCCGCGCGACCTCGCTTATCGATGCAGCAAGCTCCAGCCGAACGAGCCACTTCAGTTTCTCCTGGGCGGTGTAGCGCTGCCGTTTGTGTTGAGTCGGCTTGTGCCTGGGAGAGGGGGGGCGGGCATCTCGGTTCTCAGAGGAGGGGTGGGGTCGTTTTTTTTTAATCGACGGATACGTTGGTATCGGCATCTTCTCGCGTGGTGCGTCGCGCCACCAAGACTCCACACCGTCGTCGTCCGCGTCTGTAGCTTCACGATCTGGGAACACGTCCTCCTCGGCGCCCTCTTCACCGTCGACTCCACCGTCGCCTCCAGCATCGCCGTCGCATGTGGGTTGTTTATCGGCGGCCACGTCATCGTCGGCGCCCACAGCCGACTCGTCCCACGTGCAGGCTTCAGGATTTCCCCACCGAGGTGCAGTCGGCGGACCATTGATTTGCCTAGCCTTGGGTGTGTCCGGTTCAGACAACCACTCGTCGAAAGTGGCAGGCAAATATAACTGGAGCACGGGCCGATGGTGACCCCACGCGTCAGGAACAGGAGGAGTCGGAGGATTCGGAGGAGCGGGAGGAGCAGGAGGAGCAGGAGGTGCAGGAGGAGCAGGCGGAGCAGGCGGTGCAGGGGGTGTAGGTGGCACTGGAGGCGCTGGTGGCTCACGTGTATACCACCCGTCCGAGGTTAGTCGCCAGGCGCGGGTTGGTTTCTTCTTGAAAAGGAGGTGCGTCCCACTGAATTCCGCCATGGCTTTGCCAGCCAGGCGGGCTAGACTAGAAACTGAATGAAAAAAATGAGGAGGAGGGTGCAGAAATGGGCAACGACGGGGACCCCTGCAGGCTAGCGGCTCGGGGTCCTCGTCAATGACAGGCAGGAAACCCCCGCCTACCCCCGTAGAGGAACCTGCGTGGCAGCATATTCGCTGCGCTGGCAGCAGGGCTGACTATTCAAAAAAATCCAGTCTGATGTTCTGGGGGCTCTGAAAATTTTTAGTCTGAGGCATATTTCCCAGAGAATGGCCACTCTGATTTTTCAGGTTCCGCAAAAACACAAGTCTGAAGTACTCAGAACACACTACAACCACTGCAGTACAGTACTGCCACAAATGTAGCACGTGGGGCGCAACGCTAACCAGTTTCCCTCGCTGACACCGCGTAGCTGCAGTGATGGTCCCGCGTGAGTGGAAGAGTGAGCCAAGTTGGCAGATTTCTAAGGGAAAAGGGTGGCAAAAGTTGCCAAGGACAGATTCTGCGCATGACAGCGCCATGAAGTGTGTTCGTACACTGGCAACATATGACGTAGCGGAATGTACGTAGAAATCACAGATCCGCATTTCAGGATCCGTACTCCCTGTAGTATGAAGACCCATTATCAGCTAAGTCAGTACTCTGAAAATCTCAGGATCCAAAACCAAGTAAGTCTGAGGCACTCATGTTTGAAAATCTTACAAGTCTGAAAAATCAGGATCCGTAGGAAAATACCCTGAGATTTCAGACAATCAGACTATTTTAGTCTGATAAAGTCAGCCCTGGCTGGCAGGGAATCTTCCCCACCCTTCGAGAGGGTTCGGAAGAAATGCAGATGCCACGCAGCGCATGCGGCTGTGATTGGGCCGCACGGCAACATCCCCGTCACTCCTGTCACGTTCGATGGTTCTAGACAACTTTGTGCGGTGGGAAACCGAACCGCAGCTGTTTTTGCCTGAAAACCATGCACGATCCCACTTGTTGCATGGTCCGTTGGATTCGCCTTATTGCGGGCTTCAGTTTAGTATGTTTGAAAGTGAATTTCATTTTTTCCTTATTATAGGCGCATGCGCGTATACAGACACCTCAATTAGAAGCGCACCCCCCCAAAAAACACTGTTTTATTATAAGCGCACCTGCGCTTTTATCCGGGGTAATACGGTACGGTATATTTGCTAAATATGAAATGTTTATGACAACAGAGAACTACATCACGCTTACTTAAGAGCAGCACTACTCAGTTCCACTCCAGGAAGGTTGCTCAGTACAAGTGCATGCAGGTTGCGGCCTTCCGCTCTAATTAGCCTCAAACGAGGTAATTTCCTGAGCAGTGCCACACCCATCCCTGTCAGATAACAATTTGAAATATCCAGCCCTTCCAAAGCAGTTAAACACTGTACGTGCTCCAGGCCAGCATCAGTGATCGTTCTTGGAAGAACGAGCACTCTGAGCCTGCTCAAAGGTGCCAGAAACTGCAGGCCAGCGTCAGACACTCTTGTCCCCTTGAGATAGAGAGATTTGAGGCTGATTGCTGCCCCAATGCCTTCCAAGCAGCTGTCAGTTATATCAGAGCTGGCCAACTCTAGACTCTCCAGATGCTTCATGTAGAGGTGCTTGATTCCATCAGGGCTGAATTCTGTAGCATCAAGAGTAATATGCTTCAGGTGAGTCATGGTGGAGACATGGGCGAGGATGGCTTCTGAGAGGTAAGGGAGCCCCTTCAGATCCAACGTCGTCGTTGCATGGATCCTCTGCAAATGATGGAAAAGGTGGGGAAAGCCAACGCTTTGAGGAACAACAGTAGAGATTATGCCTAGCAGCTGACACCAAGATTCTCGCACTCACCTGCCAAACCGTTTTATAAGCCCCTTGGCGCATCCTCAACTCCTCTTCAACGTCAAACTCCACATGCTTCAGTGCTGGGGATGGGACCGCTGCTGCATCATTTGAAATCATTCCTTTTCCCAGCTCCTTCACCTCCTCCTCCTCCGAAGCCAGCTTTTCCGTCTCCACCTTCTGCAAGCACTCCTTCTGTTCAGCTAAATCCTTTCTCGTTTCTAGAAGAGTCCCTTTCAGAAGGTCCAACTCCCCTTTCATAGTCGCCAGCTCACCCCTTGTTGTTAGCAACCCCCCCCTTACTGTCACCACCTCTCCTCGCACTGTTAGCAGCTCCCCTTTCACTTGTACCAGTTCTGCTGCCCTGCTCCGCTCAGCCTCCTCCAATCCCCTCCGTGTCCCCTCCAGCAGCCCTGACTGCTGGAAGGTTTGGGAACACACGGGTTAAGGGAGGAAGAGCGGTGGAAGGGGGGAGAGGGTTAGTGAGGAATAAAGGTGAGATTTGTGGGTCCCTGCTCATGCCGCCCTCGTGTTGCTCTGCTCGTCCTGCTCGTGCCGGACGTGCTACTTGTCCTGCTTCTCTATCCGCTCAAACCCCCCATCTCAACACAGCGCTCAACTTTGGGGTAAAGCGATGGGGAGGAGAGGGACGGGAAGCGAAGCGATGGGAAGGGTAAGGGCGGGGACGGGAACGGAGGGCAAGAGAACAGAGAGGAAAAAAAAGAGGTGGATAGGAAGGAAAGGAAAGAGAAGGGAAGGGAAGGGAAGGGACGAAAGCCATTTATTGTTAGACCTCTCACCTCCTTTTAAAAGATCTCACCTGTTCAGAAACATGTGCAACGGGACCAGAAGCCGACGAGTCCGATCCCTCCGCCATCTGCTGCTTACACGCGCCGCATGCCACGCCGCTGGGCGACCCTACTACCCCCCCGGCGACTCCTGCAAGCGTCGACGATGACGCAACAGCACCCGCTGCTGAGAACGGCAGGAGCGGCGGCATCCCCCCTATAGGACGCGGCGTTGCTGCTCCGCTACAAGCACGAGACGCGGCGCGACGAGCGGTGTTTATAGCGGAGCGGGTGGAACTGGGTGGTGAGAGGCGAGAGAGGGGGGAAACGAGGCGAGATCTCGCTGCGCCGCGACGGACGGAGCCCGTGAGAACACGCGCAAGCACCATGCCGATTGGCTGAAGCTCGTGTCCCAAGCAGGTTGGGAAACACGCGCGAGCCAACTTTACCTGCCTGATGTCAAACTTTTGTAGGAAAATGTCCGTTTGGGAAAAAGAGACTCGCAGTGCTGGAAGAGTTGAAACGGGAAGAGCGATCGCAGGAGGCGGATCTCACGGATGGATGTAAGTGAACGGGGAAGAGGAGGGTAACGAAATGGACCGTTGGCCCCAAGCAGGGGGCGAAATGGATTGTCATGATCGCGTGGAGCGAGATGTCCTAAGAAATCGCCCGTCAAAGCGGTAAAGATGGATGTTGATGTGAAACATGGGACCATGCCTGGCCGATGCGATGACATCGAGGCGACACGATAAGGCAGATGCGATATGACGATGGAATGGGAGTTATGGGTGGGACGTGAGGCTGCTGAATGGGTTGAGCCAAACGAGATTTGAATTACAAGGGGGATGGGAAAAAAATCACGCCTTGCGACGGGGAGGGGAAAGTTTCACGCCTTGCGATAGTTTCTGGGATGATCCGAGCCGAGCTGCATCGTTCGGCCGCTCGCACGGTCGCAAGACGAGGCTTTTGCATGGTACGATTGGCCGTTGCAAGTTACCACAAGTAACTCAGGTTCTCCTTGCGCAGGTGTTAGCCACCCTCTAATCGCGGGAATGTGGTGGGAGTTGACGCGTCCTAGGTGCAATAAAACGCGCATGCTGAACCGAACCGAACCGAACCGAACCGAACCCGCTGCTAGAAAGTCTGCCAGTGTCGACTGACAGTCTGCCAGCGTGGGCTGACAGTCTGCCAGTTCGAGTTGCCACTCGCCGTCCGTCAACATGGCCTTTCTGTTAGGTTCGCCTGAACGTTGTCAGTTGCACACACACTTTTGAGCACTGTTGGGAAAATTGAGGTAGGCGAACTCTCGCTGTAGAAACTTGGTAGTTACAGCTTGTCGCATGCTTCGCGAAGCCCAGGGTTCTTTGGTCGTCGTCAAGCACTGTCCATCTTGCCAGGACCCGCCTTTGCATTCTTGTTTTGCAGCGTTCGACGTCCGTACAGACGTCTGTACCTGCAGATTCATATGGTCAGTTCCAGCAGCAGATGGTCTGACTATCCCTGAGATAATACCTTGGCATACCTTCGTAACCGATCTTGAAGTCAAGCTGAACAAAGCATACGTGGCTTCACTGTTCAATGGATGTGCTCATTTCACAGCCCAACTCCCTTTTCAGAGACCGCAAGAACGAGCGAATGTCGACCCGACTTGAAAATGCGCGCTGCGTTGATTGCCAACCTTTCTTGCTTCTTGATTCGAATCCAACCTGCCAGACACACATAAAGCTCCTCTGTTGCTGGCAGTTCAGACCTAGTACTACGACTAGCACTGCAGTCGTAGATTCAAGTGACTGATCGCCATCTCAGTCAGCTCCTAAGAAACGAAACACTTTCTTTGTTCAGAGTTTCGAATCAACATGGAAAAACGCCGCAGCGGCGCTTCAAGCGGTTTCGCTACTGCTAGCGGACGAAGTGCCGCGGGAGCGACATCATCGTTGCTGCTGGTCTTGTTCGCCGCGGTACTTCTGGGAGCGCCCTCTCAGACCCAAGCACCGCGGCATCCTGACGAGGACGCACCGCGCGGCCCCCTGACACAACCCAACGCATGTCACCAGAAATGCAAGAAGATGTTAATGGGGTACTATATTGCCAAAGAAAAAGACACGAGGGCGTCGGGACCGACATTTATTCTCGGGAACTACAACTATGAGCGCTACATTCTCGACCCTGCAGCCGCGGATGTTGTAGATTCCGCATTGACATCCTGGGTAATCTCTTTATTCAACCCTACCACAGGAGGGATTCCCCCCTCCCGTACTAATTGCCTTCCTAACCAAACTCTTTGCGTTTCTTCCAACACAATGATCATTGTCTTGACCCGCACATCACAAGGGGCTGCAACTTCTGTTATAACTTGCCGCCGTATTATTCCCTCTCTCTTCGTGGCAGCCAGGTACTCCAGCAACACTGGAATGCTGTCAGCGCTGTGTCATGAAGGATGGCTGCAAGTACTGGCACCTGAAACCCCCAATGAACGGCCAGCCGTAAGCATCTCCATTGGAAAATCGCACTACACTTTGTCTATAATCACGTTCTGTTTTGTCAATCTCTTGTCCAGCCAGTGTACTGTTTTACTCACACTGCGTGGTAAGTTAATCTGTTATAATGCTTTCACCTTGAGGAACGCCTCCGCATTTCTCACAAAACTATCGCCTCTCACTTCCACCCATCCCCTGCGGCTATCTTCTCACCCCCCTACCCATGACCCGAGCAGTGGCCAATGCACGATGCTGGGCTCACAGGCAGGCCTCACCGTGAAGAACTGGGACAAAAACATCCTACCAACGTTCTTCGACGGAGAGTGCAACCCCCTTGCCAATACGAACGATGATCCGCATTTCCGGGGCGCAGATGGCACCCAATACGACTTCAATGGCCTTCTCGACCGCTCCTTCTGCTTGCTGTCCGACCGTCGGATCCACATCAACATGGGAATCAAGGGCTACCAGCCCATCGCGAATCTCCCCGGCACAGCGACATCATTGGACGAGGAGTCGCTCGCTGCAGCGCTGGAAGCGGCGGCCAATGAGAAGAAACCACGTCATATCAGACAGCTGGAGCAGGAGCAGCTGAGCGTGGAGGAACTGAGCGAGCTGGAGAGGATGCGGGCCAATGGGAGCCTGCCGTTGACTGCTGAGGTGGTGGCTGCTCTTGACCGGGAGATGGGTCGTCGCAGCGGCGGAAATGGAGGGGAAGAGGAGCATCACTCGATTCAGTATGAGAAGGATGAGCTGAAGAAGAGGCTTTTAAAAGCAAAACCGATTCGCAGTTGGATCAGGTACATTAGACCGTGCTTGCTTAAATCAGTTGTTTTCTTCGGTACAAGTAAAAACTGTGCACTGTTTTGCAGTTTTCCCTTCTGTTTTCACTTGTAATAATGCTCACGTTCCACATCAACGTTCGTACTTTGTGCCTTCCAGGGAGCTCCAAGTGATGTGGCGCGATTCGACTGGCGCGCAGCACTCTGTATTCATCAAGGCGCGAGACGGCAAGGAGCAAGGGAGGGGCAGCAGCGGGTTCATCGACCGACTGGAGCTCGACGGCTCGCCAGTGGCCCCGCCTCTGTCCGAAGGCTCTTCCATCACTGGCAGCGGCGGGTTCAAGCTGCTTCTGGCGGAGACACGGAGCTGCAAGGGGAAGGACGAGGACGAGTTTCATCTCACGATCGATGGACTGGTGGCCATGGGCATCATGGCACGTTTGGCGCATCCGCTCATGCAGACGGCTACAGAGGCCCAGGCGCATTTCAACGTCCACATTGCCCGGCTGAACGTGAGCAAAACTCTCTTTTCTTTCTTTTCTATGATTGTGATGGGCTTGCTGTGCCCGGCCATGTGCTTACACGATGACCAATTCTGGCTTCGAGCCTGATAACTTTTTGTCACATTGTCACAGGCAATCATCCTCGCTTCAACCATCTCCCTCCTCTATCCTCCCTCTGGACGCCCCTCTCCTCGTCCCTTCTGCAGCACACAAAAGGTAATCATGGCGTGTGTGCCCAGCTGCATGCTGCCATGATAACCATCTTCTCTGGGGTTGGGTGTGGTAACGTCTGTCACATTGCCCCATGCAACCGTCTTCCCTTCACCCATCTCCCTCCTCTCCCCTCCCTCTGGACGCCTCTCTCCTCGCCCCCTCTGCAGCACACGAGTGGCATTCACGTCCCATGCACATTGTCCCATGCACTCACCTTCCTTTCACCCAACTCCCTCCTCTGTCCCCTCCTCTCGCCCCCTTTCTCCCTCCTCCCCTCTGCAGCACACGAGCGGCATTCACGGCGTGCTGGGTCAGACCTTCCGAGCCGAGGAGTCCCGCAAGGTGCGCTCGCTGCGGTACCGCCTGCTGACCCGCCTGCTGCGCGAGCCGGTGGAGGTGGAGAGCGAGAGTGGCAGGGGATTCCTGGATGGGCGCACGGAGGACTACATCACCTCCGATATTCACTCCGCGGATTGCATGTATGCCGCTGCATGGCGCAGGGAGGAACACGAGAGCAGCGATGGAAGCGATTTCATGTGATGAGGGATTGTGCTGTGGAGTCACTTTTGGGTAAGGGTTTAGGAATATTAATCACCTTGTACAATGGTCAGGTATACAAGATAGCCTACTTAAATCAATAAGCATGCAGCTATAATGGCATGCCATATACAAATGGGAAGTTCATATGTTCCATGGTTTTTAGTCGTACGTATTATTGTGTGACATTAATTGTTCTATAAGCTCTCCTGTCCCAAGTCGGAACCAACTCAGTTAGAAACAAGTGCAGTGTGCATGCGTATTAGGGTCCGTGTATTACTCCTATGGATCTGACAATCAAATGTTATAGAAAGTAATTTATGGTAGATATCCACATTCATGGTGCATTACTGGCCAACCACTCCCTCTTCCCTCACTCCAATCTCTCTCCTTATCCTTCATGCCTTAGTAGACATTAGGCATGATATCCACCCTTCACTCGTCACCACTGAATTCTCTGACGCAATGTGGTACACGCAGCAGCTTCCCTTGGCTTGGCCATCCAAAAGGGCTGAGAACCTTGACGACCTTTCCTCCAGCAATGCTTGCGGCGAAGTCGCCCGCAACTATCTGTCTGCCAGCAGCATGACCCTGTGGCAATTTCCACCATTCGATGTGGCCTCGTCCAACACAAGCGCAGGTGAGCACCACAGCAGCATACGCACCAGACACTGCAGCTGCCTCTGCCCCACACTCAAGCCCCCCCTCCCCCTCCGCCATCGCAGTGTCGAGCTGACCTGGTAACCCCCTCATTACACCCCACATCCCCTTGCATCCCTCCTCCCTTGCCCTCCCGCGCCACTTCCAACTCTCCCGTGCCCTGCTACGGCACTGTGGGATCAAGGTACCACCAAATACTGCCGAAAAAGTCCACCGCGTCTTATGGCACCGCTGGGAGGTGAGACATAAGTCCCACAGCCCGATCACTATAATCTATGCCTTTAGATCCACTATTCGATACAATGACATGGTTAGCAATGCCCCTGCACCCACACACCCCCTTTTTTTAACAAACATGGGCCAAGAAGATGAGTCCTTTCAGGATGAAGGGCAAAGCTTGGCGGTACCTCACCACCACTTTTCCTCTTCTAACACTCCTTGATGCGGACAGTCCGCAGGCAGGCTGAGAGTTTCGACACATACAGTGGATCCTGATCACGTCCCCCCCATCTTGGCACCGCAATAGATGGTTTGGGAGGCACTTGTCTCCTATCGTCGCGTTGCTACGTTTGCAAGGGCATACTTCAGCCACTGGGAGCTCCATGCCTAGGCGAAGGCCGAGGGCCAACGAGAATTCACCAGGGGAAATGGAGAGGTCACCTCTCGTTGGGACCACATGCAGCCAGTCTCCCGTGCCCGTCCCTTTCAGGCTTATCAGCCGCAGCGCATGGCCTCTGTTGGAGCCGGGCCGGTCCACCACTGTGTCCCCCAAGAGTTCCACCGCCCGTTGCTGGTTGATGAGCTTGGAGAGGCACAGCTGGAGGCTGCCTGCGCCCTTGCTCCCTGACCTGTAGGCTCCCAATGCCACCTGTACTTGCGCCGGCAGTCCCTCCTCCAGGTGGGTCAGTGTGTTGATGTTCGGGGACGGTGGGGACCAATTGTGGGAGATGAGGGTAGTTGCTCTGTGTAGCAAGCAGTCCGGGGGTAAGTTTAGGTGCTGCAGGAGGGTATGTGCCGCTGTGATGGAGGCGATGTAGGCAGCCGGGGCCTCCGAGATGGGGTCGATGATGCCCAAGCCGCCGAGCCGAATCAGAAGGGTAGCCTGGCGCCATAGTAAACTCAGTTCCAGCTTAGAAGTTGGGATGCGGAGCTTTGCGGCCGTGAGTGCCGAGCCGACCAACGCCTCACTCCATTCCCTCCATTCCTCGGTGCTCAGGGTCGTCGCCGGTGTCGTCCACAGCATGTAAGAGATGCGGCGGGAGATGCTGCGCGAGACGATCAACATGACATGTTGCGGGTTGAGCCGAGCGACGAGGGAAAGTGGTGAGGCGGCTTTCTCCAAGGCGATTAGACGTAAAGGCAGTAGGAGTTTCCTCGCGTGGGAGTCCTAGAAGGTGTTGAGCAGCTGATTTACCACCTTGACAAAAAACAGCAGCAACTCTTCGTTAGCTAAGGCGGGGTCTCTGAGGTGCTCGAAACAACTGCTAGAAGGCCCAGCACCAACACCGTTTGGGCACTTCACTGGGATTTCGCGAAGCGAGTCCAGCGAGACTGCCAGTTCAAAGTGTGTGATTCCTGTAACCCAAGCTGGTATCAGAATTCCCGCCACAGGGCGTTTCGTTAATAGGGCTTCGAGAGTAGCCGGTGTTGCTTCAGCGAGAGGACTTGTTCGCAACGCTGCTACTGCCTTCGAGATATTTCCTTTTTTCACCAGCCCTTCAGCTCTGACACAAACTCCGTCCTCGTCTGCTTGGTGTCGTTCGAAGGCTCTTGTGCTGCGGATGACCCCTGCTTCCTCGAAAAGCTCGGCCCAGTCACCTCGTTGAAATTTGTGCAGCCGTGTTTCAATTGCTGCCAGCGACTCCCCAAAACAGGTTCGAGTGCCGGCCTAAGGGTGAGCCTTGGCAGGAACAGCATCACCTTCCATCCACCTGGGCAGCTAGGATTCTTGTCTAGGCAAATGAGCGTTGCCAGCATGCACAGACAGTATCTGTCCAGGAGTTGTGGTGACAGCCGGCGGACAAGAAATGGCTGGTCCCCCCTCTGAAGCACGTCGACGTTCCACTCCCCCGCCATGTGCTAGATGGCATCGTCGCCTGCCAGGTCTGCCGGTGAAGGCACGTCCGTCTCCTTCGTGGCAGTATCTCCTTGTTCCACCCTATTTCTTGGAAGACCCGTCGCCGCCTCCCTTGCTTGGGGTTCTGGGTTGTTCCTCCTGGGTGTGGACTCGTCATCCAGGAAGATTTCCTCTGAGGCCTCCTCCTCTCCTGCCATAAGTTCAGGGTCAGCTCCGGAGTGGTCAGAAGCCTCTTGGTCCTCGTTCCTCTGCGGGATCACTCTCTCAGGCCTGGCGTGACGCTCCCGCCAGGGGCCAGTCCTCACAGGGATCTTCGCTCTGGGTGCTTGGTTCCGCCCTCCCCTTTCGCCTCTCATCACCCCGCGTAAAACCCCTCGGTGTGCCCGTCCAGCCGCTCCTGCCGTATCTACCGCGCCATTGCCGCCGCGACCTGCTGGCATCCACGGCGTGTGTCCGCCTCGTGGCGGGCCCCAGGTGATCGCACCAAGCCATGCCGAGCGTCTGGTGCCCGCAGCTGCTGTAGTGTCCCTACCAGCTCCCCATGGCATCGTCGCCGCTTCCTGTGCTCCCCCGTTGCCCCCGCCCGGATTCTCCGGCGCCTGTATCGTTGGTGTGTGCGTAGCTGCCCACGCGGCGGCTGATGGTGCGGGCGCGCAACCTTGGGATGGCGACCGACGCTCTGGCTCTCATGGTGGTTGCCCTTGCAGAAGCCAGCCCAGGAGGGGTCCCAAGATACTAGGTCCCAGTCCTACTCCGGGCCGCCTCGGCGCTGGCTGGGCGCGAAAGATCCTCCCACCCCTCCCACGAGCGGCGTGCGCAGCGGCTCCGGTCCCGTGACCCATTGTACCACCCGCCCTCCGGTCGTGCCCCTGCGTGTCTGCGCCCACGGCAGCAGCAGGCGTTTCGGCGGACTCAACGCCAGCCGCCACGCCTCCCTCCCCTGGGCTCGCGTCCCTTACCGCCGCAGCAGCCGTCTCAGCAGCTGCTGGTGCCTGTTCCCGCGCAACCGCCGGTCCCCGCCCCACAAACCGCGGCACCGCTGCCTGGAACGAGGCAGCGTGTGAAGCTGAGTCGCCGCCAAAAGCAGCAGCATTCCCGGCAGCCCCCTCCGTCTCCACCTCAAACCCCGCTGCCGCAGTTGCTGATGTCGCCACCTCTGCCGCCCCTGTCTCAGCCTCAGCACCCCCTGTCGGTCCCCAGCCGTTGGTTTCGCCACCCGTGCCGTCTCCATCTCTCCAGCCACAGCAGCCGCCTCGGTCTCCACAGGCAGCGCGGCCCCAAGCTCAGCAGCATCAGCAGCCTCAGCCAAACCAGTTCCCGCTACCCCAGCCTCAGCTGCATCAGCCGCCGCCGCCTCCTCCACAAGTGCTGCTAATTCCTCCCACCCCACCAGCTCCCCTGATGCTGCCCGTGTAGCCGCGATGCCTCTCCACGTCGAGCAGCGCGTAATGCACGTGGGGACGTGCCTTACGCTGCTGTTATACGTCCTGGATCAGCTCCATGTGTGCCTCGCGCTCCAAGGTGTCGAGGTTGGGGGGGTGTTACCGTCGAAGCAGGCAGCAGCGGTGTCAGCGGCAACGGAGATGTTGCATTACCGCCCCCTGATCGGCCTTGTCCCGGGCGCTCCTGGTGCTGCGCTCGGGCTCGGCCCCGTGGCGATGGTGCGGCTCGCTGTGTCTGCCCGTGACGCCCCCCTCGGCCTTGTATCAGCAGCCGCATCCATCCTATGCTGGATGGATGGGAGGTTGTGCTGGATACTCGCCGAGTAGCGGGCGTTTTCGTCGTGCCGGCCCCCTCGGTGGCAGGCTTGGCCTTGGGCTTCCCCATGGTGGTTACTTCACGCATGGGGGTGTTGTTGTTGTTGTGTGCTGTCTCTCTCTCTCTCTCTCTCTCTCTCTCTCTCTCTCTCTCTCTCTCTCTCTCTCTCTCTCTCTCTCTCTCTCTCTCTCTCTAATGGTCGGTGTATTGATAGAGCTTTGAAGGTACAAACATGCAGGGTATATAGTGCAAGGTCTAGCTAACCAGATTGACAACCAAACAAACATGGCAAACCAAACACGCAACTACCACACAACCGCCTTCTCTAGAGCTCCAGAAAAGGCTCAACCACCGCAAAGCAGTCCCCAAGGTGCATCTCCTGCCCAATGCCTCCTACAGGAGGGTGTTCTGCTGCCGCTGCCTCTCCTAGCTTAAGGAGGAGCCCCACGGACTGGGCCCTCTGAAGAGCCACCGACCATCTCTGACGGAACTGGTGTAGGAACTTGGCGGCATAGAATGATTTTGAATCGGCGTTGAAGTGTCGCCGAGCCGCCGTGTCCGCTAGGAGTTTGAGGAAGGTCGGTACCCCCGCACATGGGCAACCGTAGGTGTCTACGGCTACCGGGAAAAAGCCAATCGTCTCTGGTCGGTTGGCGTAGTGCTTAATCTTTTTGTCAGCTTGCTCCCTGGCCGCCCACCCTCTGCCTTTTTGTGCCTCTGGATCCCTGGTGCTGATGGGATCCGTGACAGTGACGTCACAGATATAGACCGCCCCACTGCGCCTCTGGTGGACCAACAACTGTGATTTCGTCAGCGTATGCAACGACACTGACCTCTGTGAAGGCCATCGCGACGTGAAGCAATATCGGTTGTATGGTGACGGCAAACAGTAACGGGATGAGGGGGTCGCCTTGACGAACTCCCCTTGTACTGCTGATACTTTCCTTAGTAAACACTGCATCAAGCTGTAGTGCAGAAGGGCCATCGTAGAGGTTCCTGAACAGCAGAATCAGCGGGTATATCATTCATGAAAGAAGCTCTCTCCACGCTATTGAAGGCATTTTCCACGTCAATTTGAAGGACCACGTGCGAGCTATCCTTCTGTAGTAGTTCGCGGACAGAGTGGATGATACACTCCGCCCCGCCTTGTACGGCCACTTCGAACTGGACTGGTAGAAAGAAGTTTCGGATCGACGTTCCTAGCTCGCACAGCGCCACTTTTGTTGCTTCCGGGTTGTTTGGCTCGCAAAGCTAAGATCGTCTCTGTCGTCGCTTTCGCCAGTGGGGTGGTGTGTAACGCTGCTACTGCTTTGGTCAGGTTGCCTTTTTGGACAAGACGCTCAGCTCCAACACATAGCCCTGTTGCAACGGGTTGGTGTCTGATTGGAGCGTAGGGGGTATGGTTATTGCTTCGGTGTAGTGGTTGTCCTACTTTCCCATCAAAACTTGTGCAACCGCACCTTGATTTTCGCCCACCGATTCCCTTGTGGATCCTGAGGTAGCGGGCGGCGTGCTAGCCTGGGTAGAAAAGGATAGTATGCGCCATACACTGGGGCAATTTGGATATTTCGAGGGCCAAAGTAGTGGTGTTGTTGACGGGAAATGGCGCTTGGGCGAAGCCGACTTCATAGTCGGATGCGCAAGAGGTGCAACCGACTAGCCGCAGAAGTCGACGTCGATCGCGCGCAGAAGTTAATGACGACCGCACGCAGAAGTCGATGTCGACCGCGCTCAAAAGTCGATGTCTACTGCTCGCTGAAGTCGACGCAAACTGCTCGCTTAAGTCAACGCCGACTTCTGGCAAAAGTCGACACCGTCTGCTCGCAGAAGCCGACAAAGTTGTCTCGTCGACGAGGTTGTGCGAAGGTGTTGGTCGAGTAGGCCTTTCTCGACTGGATGTGGTTGACATCGCCGGCAGAGGATGCTGAACGACGAGGCCCGTCGAGGAGCGTTGGTCGACGGGCTCTGCTTGACGAGCTCGTCTCGGCAAAAGCTGTTCAACGGAGCATCCATCGAGCTAATCGACGGAAGTTGCGTGACTGCGAAATTCGTCGTGTGGGCGAATGTCGCCGGGAGGTTTCCGCGAAATCAACCTGCGGAACGGCATCACGTACTCGACGGTGCACGGCTGGCGAAACCGTCGACACATGTTCTACCTGGCACCTGTGCAATGTGCTTGGCGGTGCGTCCGTCTACCTGCACCTACTTGGTTGGTGCGCAAATGCGCAGAAGTTCACTTGCGACTGCAGTGCTGGCAGACCGCGCGCAGTGCAAGGCTGGCAGACTGCTCTGCTGCGTTGTTGGCAAGCCGCTCTTCTGCTGCACTGGCAGAGTTCGCCCTAGCGGTGTTGCCGAAGCGCATCGAGCTTGTCCTCAAAAGAGTGTCCATATCCACCAGCCGAGTTGTCAACGGCCTCATGGTTGCTTTCCTCCACTTGCTTCCCTTTGTCAGCAGGTTCAAAGATAGCCTTTGCACCCGCAGACTTCGGCACAGGTGATGCTCTCTCCTTCGGCAGGGCTCGCGGCATTGTGGGATGATGAGCAGGGACCAGTAGACTGATGTTTATGAAGGCCAAAAATGCCTAATAAGCCGACAGTCTGAGCACATCATTGTTATATAACCATATAGCCCAACCAGAGGCCCGGTGTTCTTGATGCAGGTGTTGAGTTGCAGCCGAGGAGACAAACGGATGATGCCACTCACAGTCCTCGGTAGTGTCATAGAATATTAGAAACCAATCTGCGGCGTTGCTAGAATGCTGTTGATCATCCCGCTGGGTTAAACACATGTCGTCACATAATGAAGCCTTGAAACTGGATGACTCATAAAACAGCAAATATTGGGAGTAATTTGGGACGATATCCACTTCATAGACATAAAAGTTGTACCAATCAATTCATCGCAATGACGTGAATACAATGCTGTGGTCATTGAAGTCAACTGCCACGTGTGCTTCATAATAGGCAATGCTAAAGTTGCCAGATAAAATCCATGGCGGCCAGCTTGAGGTAAGTGTCGCAGGTTTGCTGGAGAGGGTCATTTTTGAGAAACTGAACGAGAATGAATTGACTAAGGGAAAGTTGGGTACAAATGTAAACCCTAGAAAACTGTACCCCATATGTGCTACCCCACTATAGCCTACAGTAGCTATGTCATATAAATCTGACACACCCCCATAGGCAAAGTGGGGGAGAACAAGGGGTCACAAGACCAGTCAAGCAAAGCAAAGCAAGCTCAGGGTGGATCACAAAGTCACCACACATTCCGAGCACAAGTTCAAGGCCACAAGGCCAGTTCACATGCAGGATTACATATATATATAAGGCTAGACAAGCAAGAGCAGGTGTATATATATATATATATGCAACAGTACAAACAAGGTCAAGGGGTGAGCAAGTGAGGCAAGGTAGGCACAAGACCCAGCTGAGTACAGAAGCGCTGATGATCACAAGGCGCAAGTGCCTTGGTGAAGATATCAGCAGTGTTGGCCTGAGAGGCCACGTACGCAAGCCGCAGCTGACCACGCTGCTGTAGCTCACGAGCAAGGAAGTAGCGGAGAGCAATGTGCTTCGTTCTGTGCTCCAGTCTCTGCTATCGACACAAGGCCAGCATGGCCTTGTTGTCTACGTACAGCACTGGAGGAGAACGAGGCGGCTCTCCGAGGTCAGTCAGCAGGTAGGTGAGCCAGCGAAGCTCCTGTGCAGCCATGGCCCCGGCGTAGATCTCAGCCTCACAACTGGAGCCGAGAACAGAAGACGAGCGGGTAGCCCGCCACGAAACAGAGCCGGAACCAAGGCTGAAGGTGTAACCCTGTGACGACCGCTGCGTAGCCTGGTCGTCAGCCCAAGAAGCGTCTGCGTGCCCAGTGAGGACCACTGGACTCTGCCCTCCAAGCACAAGCCCCATGCCCGACGTACTGCACAAGTAACGCAACACCCTCTTCGCTGCAGCCATGTGCTCCGGTCTGTGTCTCCCAGGAGCAACATAGCGTGCGAGAATGCTAAGAGGGTATGCGAGGTCAGGTCGTGTGCAGGTCATCAGGTACATGAGGCAGCCAACAAGCTCTGGGTACGGGCCACTCGACTCTACGGACTCATCCGAAGGCAGAGCTGAGAGCGAGTGGCGAGTAGACAGAGGAGTGGCCTGAGGCAAGGAGTACGTGAAGCCGAAGCGCTGAAGGACCTGCTGCACCATGTGTGACTGAGTCAGGGTAATGGTGCGGCGTGCTCTGTCCCGGGTGATCTGCAAGCCAAGGTAGCTGCGCAGTTCACCCAGGTCTGTGCACGTGTGTCTCTTCTGCATCTCGGACTTCACGTGGGCGAGTCCAGCAGTGTCAGCTGTGGCGAAGACCAAGTCGTCGACGTACACGAGGGTGTAGAACGGCGGCAAAGAAGTGTCGGTGCGCAGAAACAGCGACGGGTCGGCAGTAGAGGGAGCAAACCCAAGAGCCGCAAGTGTAGTCCTCAGTGTTGTTAGAAATTAAGGACGGAGTCTATGAAGATTAGGTGCCTAAATTTCTCAAAATCGTTGGACCCTATTTCTGGACAGAATAGTTGCGCTCACAAGAAACGCCGTCGACGAAAAGTGCACAGTCTAAACTTCACTAAACTCATATATATTGTAGTCCTACTTCG